ACTGGGGATCAGGAGCCCTTCCTGGGCTAAACTGGGGATCAGGAGTCCTTCCTGAATACACGAACTGGGGATCAGGAGCACTTCCTGGGCTGAACTGGGGATCAGGAGCCCTTCCCGGGCTGAACGAGGGATCAGGAGCCTTTCCCGGGCTGGACTGGGGATCAGGAGCCCTTCCTGGGCTAAACTGGACTGGGGATCAGGAGCCCTTCCTGGGCTAAACTGGGGATCAGGAGCCCTTCTCGGGCTGAACTGGGGATCAGGAGCCCTTCCCGGGCTGAACGAGGGATCAGGAGCCTTTCCCGGGCTGGACTGGGGATCAGGAGCCCTTCCTGGGCTAAACTGGACTGGGGATCAGGAGCCCTTCCTGGGCTAAACTGGGGATCAGGAGTCCTTCCTGGGCTGGACTGGGGATCAGGAGCCCTTCCTGGGCTAAACGAAACATCAGGAGCCCTTCCTGGGCTGAACTGGGGATCAGGAGCCCTTCCTGGGCTGGACTGGGTATCCGAAGCCCTTCCTGGGCTAAACGAAACATCAGGAGCCCTTCCTGGGCTGAAATGGGGATTCTGCGGTCTCTCCTCCTCATTTTGGCCCTGAATTCCCTCCATAGTCCGCTCACCCTCAGCCATGATGCAGGGGGCGGAGCTCCTCTCCGCACTCACACCATCCACGGCTTGCTCCCTCGTGGTGGGCACTGTCACCGGCTCTCGCACCTGGTCTGACGTGTTGGGCTCAACCTCCGAGGTGATCCTCTTCTTAGACGCCGGGCTTCGCTCCGGCTCCTGGATCGCGGCAGGAAATGGCTCTCTGTCATCGATGGGCTCAGGCTTCTGCTCCATACCATGGGGAGATGGTGGGCTGGGCTCAGGGTCCTGAGTGGGGCTGGGGTCGTCGTCAGCAATGCCCACAGTTAGCTGGGACTTGCAGGACACCAGCACCCACTCGACGAAGGGGGTGAAGCTCTCTCGAGGACCATCCCCAGACAACTGCGCTCGTGTGGTGGCGTTAAGTCCAACTCTATAGAAGGTACAGAGGCAGTTGTCCGGGTAGTGCGTGAGGTGGGCCAGGGACAGAAAGTCGTTTGTGTGGTCCAACAAGGATTCAAATAAGGATATTTAATGTAGAGACAACAAGGCAGATTCGGATAGATGAGACACACATACACTCGGGGTAACATTCACAATAACCGACAATATTAGAATACACGAGACAGGAACTTATAGGGCAGATAACGAGGGGCAGACAGGTGAGCACACTGAGGATAATTAACTAATGATTGAACGGGCTAAACCAACAAAATGGGAAGAAACCACAACAAACAGTCCACAGGGGTGTTACAAGGAGGTCATATAAAAACCCAGGCCTCACTTGCCTCAATTAAGGTCAGTGTTCATGATTCAACAATAAGAAAGAGACTGGGCAAAAACGGCATCCATGGGAGAGTTCCAAGACAAAAGCCATTGCTGACCAAAAAGAACACAAAGGCTTGTTTCACATTAGCCAAAAAATATCTTGTTTATCCCCAAGACTTTTGGGCAAATATTCTGTGGACTGATGAGACAAAAGTTGAACTTTTTGAAAGGTGTGTGTCCCATTACATGTGGCATAAAACCAACACAGCATTTCATAAAAAGAACATCCTACCAACAGTCAAACATGGTGGTGGTAGTGTGATGGTCTGGGGCTGCTTTGCAGCTTCAGGACCTGGATGACTTGCCATAATTGATAGAACCATGAATTCTGCTCTCTATCAGAAAATCCTGAAGGAGAATGTCCGGCCGTCAAGCTCAAGCGCACTTGGTTTATGCAGCAGGACAATGATCCAAAACACACCAGCAAGTCCACATTTGAATGGCTCAAGAAACACAAAATTAAGGTTTTGGAGTGGCCAAGTCAAAGTCCAGACTTAAATCAGATTGAGATGCTGTGGCATGACCTTAAACAGTCAATTCATGCTCAAAAACCCTCCAATGTGGCTGAATGAAACAATTCTGCAAAGAAGAGTGGGCCAAAATTCCTGTGAAAGACTCATTGCCATTTATCGCAAACGCTTGATTGCAGTTGTTGCTGCAAAGGGTGGCACAACCAGTTATTAGATTTAGGCAGCAATTACTTTTTCACGTAGTGCCAGGCAGGTTTGGACAGATTTTTTCCCTTAATAAATGAAATCATAATTTCAAAACTGCAGTTTGTATTTACTCAGGTTATCTTTGTGTAATATTAAAATTTGTTTGATGATCTGAATCTTTTAAGTGTGACAAATATGCAAACAATTAAAAAAACAGGAATGGGGGCAAAAACTTTTTCACACCACTGTAAATGGCTATTTCTCTGTTGACTTTCCTCAAAAACCAAAAAAAATTAATAAAACAATGGATGCCAAGTGTCAACTGTACCATAGTCTGAGAGAAACCTGAAATAGAACAAAAACAAATGTTTCTGTTTGGTGTATTTGGCTTTAGCCCACCAGTGTCTGAATTGTGTGTTAAGCGAAGAGCCCTTCAGTCCTGTGATACAGACGGTAGCAAACAGCCATCCAGCTAGAAGAAACAGAAGAGGTTTCCAAGACAACAACGTCAAGGAGAGTTCAACAACTAAAACACATCTGAAGAGCAGAAAAAGATCAGGCTGCACTATTGCACTGTAGCACAGTGCCACAAAACACACTTTCCATCGTAAACACATACAGCACTCATTGTGTGTGTAATTCACAGCGGAAGAAGTAGTCGACTGGTGTCTGTTACAGCTAGTATGTTGGTTTATTGTTTCCCAGTTGCTCTCCGGTGCTCTCATGCGATTCATCAGAGTGGTTAGAAAAAATACCCACAACATCTGGTTGGCCCCTCATGCCAGCCGGCAGAAGGCCAGTCAATTTGCCATGCTCCTGTGCCCCCCTTCAGCTGGCCAGATGTCGACTAATGCAATCTCTAGAATAGCATTTACGATTTACACCATCTGCGACCCTCAATATTAAAGTCTTTGCTGTAATCAAGTGTGAAAACTTGTGAAAAAACAATTAATTTTCCATTGTGACCATCACTTGCCAGTGCTTTTGGCATTAACATGTTTTGACATTAGCAGTTCAAACGGATTCGATTAGTAGCACAGGAGAGCCTGGCTGGAGCTCCAGAAATCCATGACTAATGATCTGCTTCCTGGGGGGATAGTGTGAATCACCAAAGAGAAAACTCACAAGTTGTGTTGATGGGTCGATGAAACAGGCCTCAAGCAGTTTAAGATATTGTTAAATGTCAATTTAGCTGACTCTGATGGGAGGTATCCCAACTGCTATGTGCTTAAACAAAAGAGAACGCGCTGAGAAAGACTTCTGAGGGTGTTAATGTAGAACAACAGATTCTGATACAATGTTTAGACTTCCTGAATAATGCTCGCCCACAAAAGATAAGTAGTACCCAGAAGCGTCATAGTCATTCAAATGCATGTGCCCCCTCAAGTGGATTTTTAATAATGAAGTCTTATGGTTATTGTAGGTAAAAGAAAAGAAATCACCCACTCGGACTGTCGGTCTAAGTTTGTCTGTACAATTGAGTTTCTCCAAACGTGCAAACTTGCCATTTTGTTTCATTTATAAAATTTATTTAATATACATACAAAAAGATATGTGTAATTAAATTAGGTCTGGATTTGCCTTTCAAATATATGAGTAAATAAATAAATAAATAAGTCAGTGACTGCATGACGTCACTAGAAGCATCACTTTTATTTTAGAATGAAAAAAAATTGTGATTTACCTCTCATTTCTGTTGTTCATTTCTATTTCTGTACTACCGGACTAACACTCCATGCTCTAATATATATATAACAAAACTGCAATGTTGTGAAGAGTACTTTCTTCTTGTCATTTTGGGCACCAGATGAGCCAGGACTGACACTGATTTGACTTAAAATAAATAAATGAATAAATACAATTAAATGAATAAATGAATGAACAAAGGCAGGTAGGTACATGATGCCTCTGGAAACATTGCTTTTATTTTAGATTGAAAACATTTCTGGAAAAACTTTACTTCTCATGTCTGTTTGTTTCTGTTTCTGTCTCTTTGCTTTAGAGGGTGCTCAAATAAACAGTGTGGGACCTGGCTCATCTATGATGCAGGCTATGACACAATATCCTTCCCTTGGACAAGTACCTGTAGCGCACCCCTATGAACCATCTCAACCTGGAAATGAGTTCAACAAGTACGCTTCGCTCAAGGCTGTGGGTAAGACGGCCATGCTTAAATGTGCTTGTATGTGGATTTTGTTTATATATGTTGATCGTGATCATTATTAAGAAAATAATATTTGAAACTCTTCAGTGTGATTACTTTCTGCTAGAGTTCCTAATCATGTGGTCTTGACCTGAGATGTTTTTGTTGTACTGGCAGGCCATGTTGTGGATCTTAGATGGTCTCATGTTGGTCTGGTCATGACTTAAATGTTTTAGGGGCATTTGCACAGTTACAGCATGTTTTCCTAATGCATGGTCACAGTCCTTAATTTTTTGCAAACACTGAGCTTAATTAATTGATAAGAAATTATATATTCAGATGTCAGGAGAGCTGCAAACCAGCATAACAACAGACACAGAATCAGACATTATGTATTATAGTATATGTAGGGTTATGAATTGTAATGTTGGTAAACCAAAAATGTTTCGGTGAAATCTCTCATTTGTCTTTCGCAGTCACTGAAGTATCAGAAGTGCTTAGGAATCTGCACCAGTAACAATGCTATCCTCGTTTATCAATAGCGCAGAGTAGTAACTGATTACATGTAATCTGGACTATGTAATCAGATTAAAAAATAAACAAATCAATGACTAAATCAATACATAAAACATTTGATTGTAATTCGATTATATTGCATTTTAAAATTCTTATAATCAGATTGCAGTTACTTTTTATGGATTAGATGATTACATGCTAGTCACATCATTTTGATCTAAAATGTGTACTTGAAGTTTTTTATTTAATATGAATATTTCAATAAATTCTCTGATGTTGGTTAATGGTTACGAGCAAATAAAGTATATATAATTTATAAATGTGCATTTTTTATTATTTAATGAATTAGATTTTAATAAATTAGCTTTTATGATTTAATTAACTCACAGCCCCTCTGCAGTTCCTTAACAAATCCCAGTTTGGAAAAAATCCCAATGTTTAATGCACCTGTTATTGTTGATAATAAAGGACAAAATATATGTTCTCTTTTTTATATCAACAAGGCACAAATATTCCTATCCATAACTATATGATAAACATGTTAGACCAAAAGTAGTCTATAAGTAAATAAAAATAATTCAGAATACATTACCTAAAATGTTATTAGATTACAATTTTTGTGAAGTAGTTTGTAATCAGTAATGAAATAATTATAAATATATAATATAATTTAAATAAATAAATAATGTCAGAAGGATTCTATAAGGATTGTTTCATTTTAATTAATTAAAAATTAAATTATTTAAGTTGTGTTTTACAGTGGTAACATTGGGTAGCAACATAGTCACTTGTTACTCTTCACATCAATTAGTCTGACATCAGAGTGAAGCCTATCAAAAGACTTCAGTGAGATGACAGTTAGCAAACAGCAGACAAACAACCAGCCGAAACAGCAATGTGTGATGACAGTCATTCTCTGAGGCATTCAGCCACGGATGAAACTGCTCAGTTGTTAATCCACTGAAGTGCTGTCTGTGCAGACTGATCACTGGGAAAACAAAAAAGGACAGTTTGTAAGAGAGAGGCCCAGGAGACAAGCCACATGGGTCGTGGAGCTGAAGCGTCTGAGTTCAGTGCGCTACCTTCCTCTGATGTGCGTTAATCTCAGCATATTGATGTCAGTGAAAGAGATCGGCTCTTCTCTCGTCCAGCTGCCTTATTTTGCAGTTGGCCTCCTGGTATGAGGTTTTAGATGTGCGGTTTGCTGCGACTCATTGGGGTGTCAAGGCTGTTAAAAAGGTCACCTGAAGGATATTTCATTAAAAGTCTAAAATGTCATGCTGAAATGAGGAGGACTTCAAGCAGAGTGTAGTCAGTCCCAATTAAGGCCTGGCTAAGTTGGAAGGTGATACTCCGTTAGCAACATTGCATGGATGTTATGTTGTACCACAAAAAAGAAATGATTAGTGACGCCGTCTGAAAACACATTAGAGTCGTTTATACTCGGTTGTCTGGTCTGGTCTTAGCAAGTCGTGTTTCACGCTGTCAGTGATCGACTAGCACTGGTTGAAAATGTCTGCGGCAAAAAATATTTACAACTCTTTTGCAAGGAAGCTGTTAGGTGCTGTTTGAATGTCAATGTTGAAGCGGCTGGATTTGTTGCCTGTAAACACATATTGTCAAAAATAACATTTACACTAATAACAGTTGCAAAGTGACTGTGAGATGTTTTTTTTTAAGTGCACAATAACTTCAGATTCAAAATAGTGGTTTCAGCCGACAGATAAAATCCCAAACCATCTTTTGGTAGAGCAAAAAGCTGCATTTGTCCATTTGATGATGGAAGCAATCCAGGCTAATTTGCATTCAAAAAATACATTTTCTCGAAACAAATAGAAACTTTTGGCAAAAAGAAGCATTAGCATGTTGACAGCGCCAAACAGTCTACTTTGGTCGCCATTCACAATGGCAACTTAAAAGCTCATCTTATAAATAAGTGAGGCACTCTTAAGCATATATATTGATTTTTGATTCATGAATATATTGATTTTGTTCAAATAAAGAAAACAAAGAAACAAATACAATTATTTTTTAAATTATTATTTACTCACCTTCATGTAATTCCAAAAGTATCAAACTCATGCTCTAAGTTTTCTGCTGATGTACAAAGGCTGCATTTATTTGATCAAGATACAGTAATATTGTGAAATATTATTACAATAAAACTGTTTTCTATTTGAATATATTTTAAAATTTAATTTATTACTGTAATGTGAAAGCTGAATTTTCAGCATCATTACTCCAGTCTTCAGTGTCACATGATCCTTCAGAAATCATTTTAATATGCTGATTTGCTGCTCAAGAAACATTTCTTATTATTATTATTATATCAATGCTGAAAACAGTTGTGCTGATTAATATTTTTGCTGAAACCGTGATATATTATTTTCAGGAATATTTGATGAATAGAAAGTTCAGAAGAACAGCACTACAGAAGTCTTTTGCAACATTATAAATGTGTCGACTTTCACTGTCACTTTTGATCAATAACTATTGCTTAAAATATTTGATTTATTAAAAAATAAATTCTTACAGATCTCAAACGTTTGAAAGTAAGTGTACATTTTGTATGTGTGAAGATCTTTTAAAAGTGAGAAAAATAACTAGTTTAGAATGACACGGTGGTCAATAAATAATGGCATAATGTGAACTGTTTCTCTACAGAAACATCCAGTTTTTTAGTTGTCTGTAGGAGGAAATGGTTGTGTCAAGTATTTTCAGAGAAAAAAACAGCTCATTTGGGAAAAACAAGTGATAACCCTTGATATATTAAATGTGTAATTATCTGGTACTTATGAGGGGAGGGGAAAAATACGCAAATCAGCAATCAGGTTGTTTTTTGCATCTGACTAATGAAGTGTTATTGAATTTTTCTCACTTTTGCTGTTCTATCTCTCTTTTCTAGCTGAAAAAGCAAACGAAAACTTCTACACTAACAGACGGCACCTAGCCGACCTGGCAGCGAAAGGCACTCTTCCCATGCACTCGGTGAGTCTGGAGCAGGAGCCCACCAACCCTTACAGCCCCGAGCTACCCTGCCAAAAGCAGAACGGACACAAGTCCAAAAGCACCAAGGTCCACAGCTCCCACCCGCTAGCTTTTGGCTCGAACACCATCGCCAACCCCGGCATGCTGAAGGGCTGGGAGACCACAGAAACGCTGGGCCGCCGGCACACGTATGCCCCCAAGAAGCACAGCGCCACCGTGGAGCAAGTGAACGAGCTGACATCCGCCCACAGCCAGCACTACCTGCCGCCACATCCGTACTTTGTCACCAACAGCAAGACTGAGGTGACCGTGTGAACGGGGCCTGAGTGGATGTGTGGATCGGAGAACGAGGATAATAAAGGAAGCCTGATGGAGGAAGAAGTGTGGATTAGGATCCTGTCCTGCTGGAAGGATTGACCGAGCGGTCTGGCTCGAGATCTGCATGGCTGTATGTGTGCTGTTTGTCTTTGAGTGGCTGCGCGTGGAACAGGCGTGCATTGGCGACACTTGAATGGGAAAACGTGGAACTCTTTCTGTGTCCATTCCATCACAAACGAATAATCTGACCTGTAGTGATGAGTTCATCACAAGGCCATCCGTCAGAGTGATGAGGACACATTCAAACCCTACACAATCAATGCAATCAAAAGTACTACTGTAGATGATGTTTTTCAACAACCTGAAAGCTTGTGAGAAGGTCGCCTAAGAAACACTATCCTGTTTTTCTCAGAATCTTGTACATAACAGAATGGACGAGAAATGTCAAAGGCTTCCTCGGATAATCAAAGAACATCGATCTGGAAGATAAAGATGATGTGAGGACAATCGTGTCTCAAGTTCTTCTCATCTCAACACTCGAGACTTTCTAGAGCGTGTGCACCAAAAACCTCCTGTAGCAAAGTAACACGCTATATCCTGACAAACACTGGGCTTGTGCCTTTCCAACAGAAGAACTCTTTATCTAAGAGCTCTTGTGCTTTTCAGTGAGCACATGGTGTTTCTTCAATAACAAAGATGCATAAAATATAAACAAATCTATTGTTTACGGCTGTCATACTTCAGTAGAAAATGTTGATTGTCGGTGTTCTTAAATACACATTTCCCTTCTGTTTCGCCATTTTTTCTCTGATGTGTTCACATATTGTATGGCCCTATCTTTTAGTGCAACTGTAGACTGTAGACAAAGGAAGTACTGTAGGGTTAATGATAGACATTCATTATTTTTCAATGTTAGGTATGATAACAATGAATGGTTAATTCTGATACCGAACAAGATTGTTACAACACTGCCATTGTTGCATTCCTAGTATTTTTGGTATTGAAAACTGATTCAGTAGTTTCTTTTGTCTTTAGCATCATAATGCGAACCATTTCAATTAGCATAAGGGCAAATGGCTTGCATTCAATTTCGAATACTGAGCGTTTTGTCATCCACATTCAAATTATCCCAAGTATCTGGCTGTGAATAATGTGGGTCACATAAACTTTAATTGCTGTGAAACAAGTGGCTTTATCTCAGTACCCCTAAAATGTTTTTGACCTAAATCATTTACTCATCTAAATCGAGATGGCAAATTAGCAGGCTAACTCATAGTGAAAATAAAAAGACATTTACATATCTAGTAGTACAGCTTTCTGCAGTGTCACACATTATTATTTCATAAGTAGGATACTCATTCTCAGTATTTACAATATGTAGTAGATGTAAGGGGTGATCGCACTAGATTTTGTGTTTGTATTCTGCTGTTTTTAAGTTTGGTGAACTCTGGCTTGCAAATCTGTATAGTAATGTTTGACCATTAGAGGATCTAAATGTCACAGACTGACCTGCTACTAGTGGCACAGAAATGGCACACTTCACCTTTAAGGTAAAGGAATAGTTCAACCAAAAATAAAAATCTGTTGAAAATGTACTCCTCTTTACCCTCAGAGCATGCAAAATATACAGTAAATGAGTTTGTTCTTTGGAGAAATTTAGCATTACGTCACTTGCTCATCAATGAATCCTCTGCAGTGAATGGGTGCCGTCAGAATCAGAGTCCAAAAAGCTGATAAAAACATCATAATGATTCACAACTAATCAACAGAACTCCAGTCTATCAATGAACATCTTGTGAAATGAAAAGCTACAAATATATGCTCTTAACAAGGAGCATATTTTAAAATATTATTTTTTAAGCGTTAATAAGATTTTGATATGAGAGGACAACAGGGGATAGACTTTTTCACTGAAAGAAGCGTTATTATGGAATATGTATTTTAGACAGAAGCGACAGTTTACAGTTAAAATTGTTTAATGATGGATTTGTGTCTGCGTTTCACTTAACAAGACAATAATTGATCGCCTGGAGTCTTGCAGCTTACTTGTGGATTATTGTGATGTTTTTATCAGCAGTTTGGACTCTCATTCTGACGGCACCCATTCACTGCAGAGGATGCATTAGTGATCAAGTGATGTACTGCTAAATTTCTCCCAATCTGTTCTGATGAAGAAACAAACTCATTTACTCAACTCAAACTCCTCTTAAATTGATGGACATTAGTTTCTACCCTAAAACACAACACAATGTAATGTGTAATTCAAAATGCAGGTGAAACACCTATAAAAACAAATCAATACAGGGCACATTGGGCAGTTTTTTAACATATTTTGCTTAAAGTGAAAGGCTGCCACAGAGACGGCGGCAACTTCTCAGGACACATATTCAAGTGATATCTGTCAGCTAGTGACATTTTAGGTGTGGTATGTATTTTACTGCACATTTAAATGTTTTAAAGCACACCAAGAATAAATTATCTAGTGAAGCCATTTGTACAAATACTGAAACAGCGAGTCGGCTACACAAATTTCCTTTGTAAGCTAAATAATACCATTTAAATTAACAATTTAAAACATTGAAAATTCCACAAAGTCTGGGAAAATTTCTTTAAATTGATTTATTCAAAACAGAAGCCCTAGAGAGTTCCATCATATCCGTTTGCTCATATTCACTGCAGGCATAAAATAATTCTTAAAATCTAGTGTGACCACCCAAGCCACATATTAATAAAACATTTTAAGATCGGCAGATAATAGAGTTGGAATCAAATCATGTTGTATGTAAATTTGGGGTTGATTATTTATGATGAGAAATACAAATCTTTGTCAAGATTTAACAACATATCAATATCAGTATTGTGTCAAATTCGGGCCTCTGCTGTTATAAGAATTCCCTCTAGAGAGAAAGAAAAACACTCCTGCAAAATAATACAAGCCCTGCCTCCAAATTTAACTGCTTGTCTTTTTCATACCATTGAATACTGTCTTTGTGCGTCACTGCCAAACAGCCTGCGACAAACCAGTACTTAAGTCTGACATAATGGCCGCTGGTCTGTCAGTCACGGAGTCCACTCAACATCTATTAAACCAGAGTGTCTCACTGCAGGTCACCTCATGACTCAGAGCGCACTACAGGATCGCTCACCAGGGGGGCATGTTTCTTGGAATTAAATCACATAGTGAATACCTATTCCTCTGAAATCTCTGAACACTGCAGAAATGGATTAGCACAGATAATGTCAAGATTCGCCGTGTAGCTAAAAAGACCTGCACAGCTGGATTCCAGGGTTTTAGTCTGCATAATATGAAATCGCCAGTGTGATATATAAATCAGGCATGTGGGAAATAATCTAGGTTAACAATTGGGAGAGAATTCACTAAGAATTAATTGCGCACACTGATTAGTTTATTAGCATTGTTTTAGCACCAAAGGTAAACAGAATACAACAGACTCATTTGATGAATTACTGCTCTGTGATTAATATGAAATGTCCACAGTGTTAACTTTGGTAGGCACAATTGCAGGTTTTTGTGAATATGAAGCAGTCTACTGTATGATTATCTTTAAGATGCAGTCACACTATACAGTACTTCATTCACACCTGCATTCACTTCCATTCCTGAGTGCAAAGCAAACAAATGAGAATAAGTGTTGTCTTGCGTATCAGATTTTGATTTGGAGAAAATGTAGCTTGACCTCTAAATTTGCTTGACAAAAAAATGTTCAATGTTCAATCAATAGAAGATGTAAATGGTACAGATTGATCTCCTGACTTACAGTTTGCAGGAAAGTGTCAAGTAGTATATTTTATCACTTTGAATGCATACATTTTTTTAAATATATATATTTTTATTTATTAAAAACAAAATTCAGAGTGACATCATATCCTGTTGCTGATATGAATTGCGGTGCCTGTAGCTTTCACACGATCAAACCTAGTGTGAATGCATCTTAAAGTACATAACATAATATTTTTTTCATATATATATATATATATATATATACAGTATATATATATATATATATATACAGTATATAAAAAAAGAAAATATAAATTTAAAGCTAACATCTATTTACTCTAAATGCAAATAGTCAATTGTGTTGGCAAAGGCTAATTTCACTAAAAGTGTGGTCACATTTACTGTTGTTTGGTGAATTACTGTGGTTGAAATCAAGTAATTTTTATAGGAATTTGTGCAATTTAGAATTTCGCGTAAAGGTGAAAGATTTCCCCAGTGTAGATTTTGAATTGAGTTTAGGCTGAATTAAACAAAAAGCTGATTTAAGCTGGTTTAAAAGTGACTTTCATGTAAGCAGTGCTTCATACATCGTTACACTATTGATAATAGACAATGGACCTTTTTGCCTGCGAAAGTTTGGAAAAATTTCACTAATGTGACCTTACCTTACCTCACATAGCAATGTCTATTTACACTTAATGTAAAATCAAAGATGATTTTTGTTGCTATTTACACTTGGTGCAAACAGTATGTATTACTAATGTAACCTAATACACAAACAGCACTATACCAATGTAAATAGTACCTGGTTAAACTGGATTAAGTGAATGAAGCGTCTTATGCTAAAATACCTTACAAAAATGTGACGCAACTGCTTAGTGAATTCATCTCTCAGTGTGTTGAAATGTATGAAACCCCATGTTATGTTGAGCCTACATAGGGGGTAGTCTTATTATCTGATTGCTATTTCCACCTCTCATTGTGCCTTGCTGTTCATTAACAGACATTAGGTCTCATTTTTACCATTTGTTTGCATTTCTCAGTTTTTTAGACCATTGGGGTTGGCCATGTATGAATGCAGAGAAAGAACACATAGAGGTTTTTATCTTTTGACATCAGCACAAGGTCTTATTAGTTAGAGACATGATGAACTAGTACATAACAGATGCCATCTTGAACGGTCAGCTGTACATTATATCACAAAAGGGCTGAATATTAGCAGAACAACTTTAATGCTGTGATCATGAAGGTTAGATGTTGAGCGAATGCATTCTGGCTCTCAGTGAAAACACATTGACATGTATAGGCAGATGTTATAAAAGCTGTGCTAAAATGATATTGCCCTTTATTTCATGTCTTGAAAAACACCATAACCCCACTGCAATTGATATTGATGTTCGTTTGTGTATTTGTGTCTGTAACTGGTTCATTTTAAACACTCAAATGCGATTTTATAGAATTTCTTTTTGAAAAGTAATACCTCAGATACTTTTAGAAACCCACTGTTGAATTAATTGAATTGTTTATTCTGGATATAGCTATGCCGATGGTACAAACTCTTTTATGATATGATATTGTCATATTCTTCACATAAAGCCAGAATAGTTACACAATAACTTGATATTTGTAAGTAGTAGCATAGTAGTTGCTGATGAGACCACGTTGTCCAGTTCAGTGGTCTATAATGTAAATCCCATAGACGAAGCATTGAGGATTACAATGATACCCGCCAAACTAATACCTGCACAAGCTCAAATTATACCGTGAAACCTGAGTGTCTTTTATTGAAGGGTTATTTTGTGATCCAGGTTTATTTGAAAATGTGTCAATATAGTATTCAGTTAGTCAAAATACTGTGTGTACTTCAGTGTGCTCTGTAATGGACGATGCAAAACGAGGCATCTGGGAAACAGATAAGAATCTTACAACCCGTGGATCACATTTAATACACTAAGGTACATTTTTTAAACAATGTATTCTATGTAACATTTCTATGTGGAAGTTGAAAGTTTAAGCACTGTTGTACCGTTCACATCACAAAACTTATTTACAATAAATGTCTCTTCTCTATAAATGCTGTGGATTTTTTTTTTTAACCTTAAGTGTTTAACATGTAGGATGTCAAATGATTTTAGGCAGATTTTGTTGTCTGGGAAGATGTGCCTTATACTACAGTGAAGATGAGTCATAATGTTCTGATATAGGCTATTAGGCACAAACTGTGTTGTTTCACAGACTATATATATTTAAATATGTGAATATTGTATCTTATTCTAGCCAAGCGGTAAATATTTAGCTGATTAGCAAGGCTTTGTTGGCTCTGTTATTGAAAAGAAAAAGCTGTGTTCTGATCAAATATATATTATTTT